TATTAACGTGGTGCCAACTTAATTTATGAGCTCTAGATCTTGCATAAATACTATGGTATTGAGAAAACCTAAAGAAAAAAATTAAATATTTAATAAATCATGTGACATAATTTTATCATTAGTTATAGTTTGTTACCTTGAATTGCGAAGAAAGTCATCAACACTAAAAATGCATAATTGATTTTCTGGTTAACATAAATGCCATTTTCAAGTAAAAAATTTGGTACCAGAGTTATTATAGGCACAATAAGATACCATACAACCCTTTTAACGCTAATGTGATAATGGCCCTGTTCCTTAAGACATTCATTTCATATCGACTTGTCATTGTTTGACCATCAAAATTAATATTTATCGATTGACTTGACAATTTGTATAATTTCATCGCAACACAATTAGACAATATAATATACAAAGTAATTCCCAAGTGTAGAATGATGTCCATTGCCATGTAATGCTCGATTTTGTACCTGAGTCACACTTATTATGAAGTAAAGTAAATCAATGATGATATTGTTGTAGTAAATGATTAGATGTAAAGGCCTACCATTCGGGCTCATTATCACAACCATACTAATACATGTTATCGGAGAACGGAACCAATGATGGAATCGAGGCTAAAATAAACGCGCCTATGAAACAAAACTTTCTAATCTACGTCTACCCCTGTACGCACCATTTGTGGATTCTGTTTAATTCACATGATCATAATATCCAATTAATACTTTAAAAATAAAAATAAAATTTATTTAGTAAATTCTACTTGCATACATTATTGTAATACCATCATCATCCAACAGGAGAAGAAGCCAAATAATGCGATTTTTGGGATTAATGGTCACACAAATCAGTATTTAGGTTCGCGAACAGGTTATCACAAGTAACATCATCAGTAATGTTTCGAGCCTAAATGTTATAGAATCCTTAATATTAAGAATCCTAAAATTATGCGCGGTACTAGCACATTACTATCACATTAAAATGCGCTGATCACACATTATCAGCAAATAATGTGCGGTCAGTAATTTACATATGATTTATATAAATAGATAAGCTACTGGAGCGATTTTATGATCATCAATATCTATCTATATGCTGTTCAAGTGTTTGCTTTCGGTACGATTGTATATCCGTTGTAAAAATGATGGTGATGCAACAGTAAAGGAAGGATGATGATGGTGCCCTGGGTCAGATTTATTATGCAAACTATAAGATATCAAGAAATTTTATTTAAATAAACAAATTTTTCTGATTTCTTTCTTACCTTTTTGTAAAAGTAAACTGATTTGTCGTAAAGTGGTTTTCGTCTAAACGAGTAACCAAATTAGGGTGAAGAAATAATCACGAGACCAAGATAAAAAATCGGCTTAAGAATTTCAAGGTGCTATTTTAATGTTGATTTGATCAATGATTAAGCATATTTGCAATATCCTTGGCATACTGACACACATGCCCTCAACATCAAGGCTGGGATATTCTTATTTTTGCAATAATAAAACTACGTTTTTTTTTTAAAAAATAGACCAGAAATTAGCTCAACTTTACGCTCGTATCCCGACTATTAGTTCCAAATAAACGTTTTTATCATCTTTTCAGAAAGAAATATTTTTTTTCGATAAGCCATTGACACAAAGACAGATGGGACAAAGACAGATGGGAAAATCATGTGTTGGATCATTGATGTGCATCAAGTCAAGACTTTGAGATTTCGTAATAAAGAATAATATATTTTTTTTGGTTGCTCATTGTTATTATTAATATTTATTAAAAATTTTTTTTATACAAATTAGACATTATTTTAAGAACTCGATCTAATTATTAACATGAATAAGAACAAAAATTTTTTTCTTTAAAAAAAAGGCAATACATTA